AGGTATGAGTGAATGAACTACCTAACCCAATAGACATGTTGTGTTTACAAGTAGTATTTAGGGTTAAGTACTTGGAGAAGATTACTGGGAAGAAGAGTGCTTTAGGGAACAGAGCCTAATCCTAAGCACTGGTGAGTTCCAACACCTAGAGCAGCAGTTACCAGTTTTTCAAGCCTCTTTACACTATTAAAAATTGTCAAGGATACAAAAGAGCTTTTGTTTATGTGAGTTATATCTGCCAATATACACTGTATTACAAATTAGTATGTATAGGACTTATGCTTCTGGTTAAGTAGAGTAACAGAGACCTGATATACCCTCCCCCAGAAACTTCCAACATAAATGGACAAAATGTATGAAACAGTGGTTTTTATTACATTGGATATTAGGTAACAAAGCACAGGAATATCTACAAGATACAGGAAAAATGAGATGAGATTTATAACAGAGTTTCCAGGTTGTGGTGCAGGCACACACAGATCCCAGGCAGAGCCTGGTGGACTCTGAATTAGGGAGAAAGACCTAAGATACCAGGGAAACTGAAGGAGCTAGGGTTGGCAGGACAGTGTAGGAGAGGAGAGAGTAGCACAGAGAGAGAAGCGGTGGGGGGAGCCCTAGGAATCTACGGAAGGTTCATCTTGTGTATTCATTCAGTATACAAAGTATATTCTCTTGTTACCAGAGAAGAACCAGGACCAGGGCAGGTCTGCCCAGTACAGTTTGGAAATAGGATTCTTCTGTGGTGTTGTAGGAAAATAATTTCAGGGACATACATGTAGGAGGATTTTAGGCCATAGCGGGAAGATTTATTAGAGTAAAAATAGATTGAATACCCTCTGAGAGGCAGAGAGCAGGCAGGCTCTAGTAGTGGCCGCATGGACAGAAGCAAAAGGAAGGTCCTCTGCTACTGCTCACTGCTCCCCTGATTGCAAGAGTCTAAGGACCCTTAGAGTTTAGGAGAAAGAAAGGCAAAAAATATGTGCTTGGGACAAGGGCATGGACATGCTCCAAGGAGGGCGCGTGCTGGGTTTTGTCCAGCTTCTGTGTATTTCCTTGGGTTCAGAAAAGAGCCGGCTTCCTTTCATGCTATTCAATCTATAATCTCTTTCCTGGCTCTTTCCAGGGCTGTGATGTGCCCTCCCCCCACCCAATCCCTTTCCTGGCTCTTCCAGGGTTTCGTGCCCTTAACATATCTATCTGACTTTTCCCCAAATTTTCCCAGCCTAGTTCCCTCCCCCTTTATGGTAGCAATTTTGGCTTCTACTGTGCCTGCACTCGGGAAAGGACTCTCCCTTCACTGTTTTTCCTCCGTGCCAGTTACTCCCTTCGGTGTCTTCCTGGAGTGATTTATCTCCTGCGGTAGTGACTGTCCGTTTCTAGTTAATCCAGCTTAATCAGAGGCCTTGTTTGCTCCCTTCCTTTTGTTAATATCTAACCAACTGCCTTCTTTCTGTACATGACCACAATAAAATTAAATTAGAAATCAATAACAAAGCCCCCTGGAAAACTGCCAAATATTTGGAAACTGAGCAATATACTTCCAAGTAACTCATGGGTCAAAGGAATATTAAGACCAAGAAGTTTTGAAATTATTTACTAACTCATTTAAAAATGACAAATTTATTATGTTTTGATAGGAAATAACTGTTTCCCAAAACAAAAATAATCAAAATAAATGGAAATTTCTACTCCTAGTCCAGATGGCATAACAGAGACTGTATTTATGTTCCTTCATTAATAAACTAGAAAACCAGATAAAATATATAAAACTGTGGCTTTTTGGATATTGGGGAAAAGTAGCCCAGGACTGTGATTCCTGCCAGAAAGAAAACAAAGTGGTGAGCTTTGCAGCTCCAGAGCTTACTGACTATAGGCAGTTTTCAGGCGCTGGATGGGGGACCCCAAAATAAACCGGTAGGATCACTGAGTAGATAAAACAGAAATGAAAGTTGTGGAAGGCCAAGGTGTCTAGAATTTGTGGGATAGCTAACCAGAGAAGAGATAATCTCAATCTACACATGAATGAGAGGAAAGTGTCTGAGACTAGAGGAAGACTACTTGAAAGGATTAGCTCCCGAACAATTTCTGGAGCTCACACAGGGCCAGGGACAGCTTGAATCCACCACAAAGCCTTAGTAGGAAAAAAACCCTCATAATATATAGTAATATATAGGGACTCATCAGGCAGAATCCTCAGAATGGTATTATTGCTTTAGTAGCTGGGCTAATCTACGTTAGGGCCAGAGGATAAATATTTTAGGCTTTGTGGGCTATATAGGGTCTTTGTAAAATATTCTTGTTTATTAACAGGTCTTTATAAAAACTTCCCCAGCTGAATTGCTCAGTTAGTTGGAGTGTGGTCCCATACACCAAAAAGTTGTGGGTTCCATTCCTGGTCAAGGCACATGCCTAGGATGTGAGTTTAGTTCCTGGTTGGGGCGCTTACACCTACATGAGGCAACCTATCTGATGTTTCTCACATAGATATCCCTCTTCCTCCTCTCTCCTCCCCCTTCCTCTCCCTTCCCCCCTCTCCGTCTTCTCTCACCTCTCACTTCCTCTCTCCCTTCCTCCCTCTCTTCCTCTCTCTCTGAAATCAATAAAAATATCCTTGGGTGAGGATTAAAAAATTTTTTTTAAGTATAATAACCATTCTTAGCTAGAGAGCCATACAAAAATAGGCCTTAGGGCTGGCTTTGGCCTTTGGCTTTAGACTAATGGTTGTTTAATTTTTTCTAATGAAAAGAGTTTTTTAAAAATAGACTTTACTTTTTAGAGTATTATAAGGTTCATAGAGAAGTTGAGGGGGGAAATACAGAGTTCCCTTATTTCCCCTGATCTACAGATGCAGTCTCTCCAACTATCAGCATCTCTCTTTAAAAAGCAATGAAAAAAATGTCCTTGGGTGAGGATAATAAATAAATAAAAGATAAATAATCAGTCTATCTTGAAAATATGAGTGGGTTGAATGTGGGCCTATTCATCAGCTCCCACAGCTACCTGAACCACTTAAAACTTTTAAGAGGTAAATTCAGGACATCTAATTAGCATAACCGAGATTTTAAACTCTGAAGTACTCCTTACCAAATGGCAGAACTCCTAAAATAAGGTGAAGAGATGAGTGTAAACAGGTTTATTAGTCATAATATCTTGGCATTGTTCTTTTTTTCTTCTTTAATTATAGTTGACATACAATATTATATTAGTTCCAGATACAAAGCCTAGTGATTCAACATTTATGAATCTTACAAAATTGTTTTGTTGAGCAGAGATTATTGGACTTCTTGGGCCAAAGCCAGAGCCTGTGGCTGCTATTAGTTTTTGGTTTTAAGCCTAGGATTAGGAGTAATTAGATTTTAAAAAGAAAATCCCTTTTAATTCTGGTATTTTGTTACTTCAGAAGATAAAGTCATTAAGCCTCCCTAACTGTTAATAAGATTACTGTAACAGGCTTCTTGTGTCATTCTTAAATCCACAATCCATAGGTAAATGATGGAGTGGCCTTACGAGGAAAACAACCTAGAGCTGGTCTAACTAAATTCTGGAGACCCCATAAGGCTGGGTTACCCTGTTTGTCTAACAGAAAATAACCGTCGTGTGAGCCCGTTTATTTTTTTTATTCTGGGAAGCTGAAGTAGTACAAAGAAATTATCCTTGAATGCATAGAGTTAAATAGGACTTACCTGTTTCTAAAGATCTAACTTTCCAGTAATCTTTATGGCCATCTTATATTTCTTTTGCTGAAATTTTAACCAGTATCTTATTTCAAATTTACCAGACACTTTACAACCCAACACCATAGTTTTACTAGGAATTTTTGTGCATGTACTAGACACATAAATTTATTGAAATTAGGAGCAGCCTTTCCCTGGTGTCCAAAGAACAGTCACATTTTTTGATTGGGAGTATTGAAATGAATGTGAAAATGGAGATAAACTGGGCTTCTTCCATCGTGGGGGAGGCAAGTCAGTTGGACTTTCACCAGCCAGGATTTTGCATGTCTAGATAAGAATTTTCCATTGCCATCAGTTATCTACAATTTACAGAGCTGTAGCACAGCTCAAAGGCAATGAATGGCTGGAATTCTGGAAGGGTAGCTCTAGCAAATGCATAGTTTTCATTTGAAGCACAAGATTTCCCCTATACTCAGTTATTTTTAGTACTGTGCTACAGGGACAATAGGAGTTACTGTATGAAAAGTCTCAAAACTGTGTTTTAACTGTTTGCAGTATGATTCTTTCTAAAATGTATTTTTGACAGGATTTATTTTGAACCATGACTTCAGTGTTTAAGGGTGATAGATAAGTAAAGTGCAACCTCAGCTATTTGAACCATGGTTCAAATCACAAATGAATGCCTTCAAGTCATGCTCTAACAATGACTGGCAACTCTTTATTGAGTAAATTAATGAACATTACTAACAGTGACTTAGAGATTAGGCTTAAATTATTTTCAGAGGTGTGAGGTGGACTGGTGGTGGTGGAGATGTCTTAGATTGTTAAAGGGGTTCTGATGGAAACCGGCAAGAAGTGTGAAGGGGGAAAAGAGGCTTGAAATGGATATTCTTTGTTTTTATAACCCAACTTTCCTAGAGGCTTTTGCTTTTATCTTTAATTAATATTCTTCATCTTAGTACTCTTTTGTGTCTTAGAAATTAGAATGGTGTCTTTTGAATATATTTAGGAAAGCAATATCTTTCATGCTCTATCAAAAGACTTTCTAGAGTATGGGGTTTGGGAAGAAACCTACAGTAGCAAACTGGAATGTCATGTTTCCATGTTTGTATCTGAGGCAGGGAGAAGATTAAAGAAAAAACTTCCACGATCTCCCAACCCCTTGTATTCTTGTGCTTGCCAGCTTTTTAACTTAATGCACGTGATTCCCAAGGATGCTATTCTTGAGCAGGCTTGTACACTTCTTGATAATTCACTCTGTTTGTTGGTTATAGATTCATAACTTCTCCAGTCTTTGCTTTACTGAGAAGATTTTTTCAATTTCAGGTAAAAAACATCAGAGTGAATTTCAGCTTCTGGTGGATCAGGCCAAAAAAGGATATAAGAAAACTGTTGAAATGTCAAAAAAAAAAATAACAAAAAAAGAAGATGAATCTACAGAAAAGCTATTCTCTGTATGCATGGGTAAGAGACTTTGAAAACAGAAATAATGTTGAATTTCATTAGTTATTTTAGTATAAAAAAATTAAACCAAAGGAACTTACTTTGGACTCAGATATTTGAAATGGAAAGTGTTTTTAGATATACAGCAGTTGTTGAATGTAAACTAGTTTTATAACTGGGAAAAATGACTGGGAGGATGTCCTGAGACACAGTTTCTAAAATCTGTCTTCCTTTTACTTAATAGTAAATCAGAAATTTCTTAGTTTTTTAAGCTTGAAGATATTTTCTAGGTATAGGAGTTACTGCTTCAGATCTTACAAAGAGAATAAATTGTTTTTGTTATAGGTCATTAGTATTTATTTTGGAGGGAATGTTCTGCTAAAAATATCTTAAGCTAATATACTTGGTATGCCAATACATAACATATTTCTTAATTTCGATCCATTTTAATTTTAGATTAATAATATATTTATATTGCCAGGAGTTTGGGCCAGTAAACAAAACAGAATCATAATGGAGGAACGTGCACAAGAAAATTTCTTATTATTTTTTTATTGTGGTACAATATACATAAGGTTTATTATTTTAACCTTTTATAAATGTACAGTTGAGTGGCATTAAATACATTCACAGTATAACAGTTACCACTATCTGTACCCAAAACTTTTTCCTCATCTCCAGTGAAAACGCTGTACTCATTAAATAATAACAATTTTTCTCCCTCCTCTCCCCACAACCCCTGGTAATTCTACTTTTTGTGTCCATGAATTTGCTATTCTAGGTACTTTATTGTTCTTCTGTGTCAGCTTATTTCATTAAGCATGATGTTTTTCAGGGTCCTCAAGTTGTGGCATATATCAAAATTTCATTACTTTTTATGGCTAATTACTACTCTATTGTATGTATATACCACATTTTGTTTATCCATTCGTCTGTAATGGGTTATTTTCATCTTTTGCCATTTGTGAGTAATGCTGCTATAAACATTGGTTTTCAAATACCTCTTCAAGTCTCTGTTTTCTGTCCTCTTGGATCTGTACCTAGGAGTGGAGTTTCTGGTTCATATGCTAATTCTGTTTACTTTTTGAAAAACTACCAAACTCTTTTCCACAGTGGTTGCACCATTTTACATTCCCACCAGCAATGTTTGGGGATTTCAAATTCTGTATATCTTCACCAACATTTGTTTTTTTTTCATAGTCATTGGTGGTAGGTATGAAGTAATATCTTATTTTGATTCTGATTTGCGTTTTCCTAATGCCTAGTGATGTTGAGCATCTTTTTTATATGGTCATGGGGCCTCTTGTTTGTCTTTAGACAATGGTAAAGTCTTTTGTCTATTTTTTAATTGGGTTGTTTGGTTATTTTTGTGCTTGAGTTTTAGGAGTTCTTTATATATCCTGGATATTAGTGCCTTACTACATGTGATTTGCAAATGTTTGTGAACATTTTCAGGATAGTCTTCGCTTTCTTGATAGCATCTTTTGATGCACATAGGTGCTTGATTGTAATGAAATCGAGTTTATCAATTTTTTTTCTTTTGTTGCCTGTACTTTTGGTGTTATTATATATATGAGGTTGTTGCCAAATCATGTCATGAAGATTTTCCTTTATATTTTTTTCTAAGGGTTTTATAGTTTTAACTCTTCTTACATTTAAGTTATGGTCCATTTTGAGTTAGTTTTTATATACAGTGTATGGTAAGAGTCCCACTCCATTCTTTTGGATGCAGATAATCCATTTTCTGAACACCATTTGTTAAATGGTGGTTTCCCCACTGAATGCTCTTGACATCCTTATTGAAAATCAATTGATCATATGTGAGGGTTTATTCTCTACTCTCTATTTTATTATACTGGTTTATATGTCTGTTGTTATGCCAGTAGTACACTCTTTTAATTATTGTAGCTTTGTAATAAGTTTTGAAGTTGATATTTTGAAGTCCTCCAGCTGTATTCTTCCTTTTCAAGATTGTTTTGGCTCTCTGGGTCCCTTCAGATTCTATGTGAATTTTACAATGGATTTTTCTCTTTCTACAAAAAGTGCCATAGGGATTACATTGAATCTATAGATTGCTTTGGTTAGTTTTGACATTTTAACAATATTAAGTCTTCCAATCATGAATATAAGATAATCTTTCATTGATCTCTTCTTTAATTTCTCTCAACTTGCATTTTTCAGCATACAAGTCTTTTACTTCCTTGGTTACATTTATTCCTAAGTATTTTATTCTGTTAGGTGCTATTGTATTCCTTGTAGTTGTCTTATATTCTGGTGTCACTTAGTAGTTTGCTGCCTGAGTATATGAGGTCTGTCCAGAAGATATCCAGCCGTGTACTATGAAAAATGGAGGCATTTATTGAAGAAGATACAAGAAGTATTGTACATAGGATAATCATGCCTCAGTCCCCTTCAGAGTAGGCACCTTGGGACCTCACACTGTTCTCCCAGTTGCCATCAGCTGCCCTGTAATATTTTTCTGGATCTCATCGATAACCTGAAATCTCTTCCCTTTCAAAGATGATTTTAGTTTTGGGAAAAGCCAGAAGTCACAGGGCACCAAATCTGGGCTGTAGGGGCTGAGTCCCCTGGGTGATTTGATGTTTTGCCAAAAAATTCCTCACAGGACATGATGCATGAATGGGTGCATTGTTGTGATGAAGCTGCGAGTCACCCGTTGCCCATAGCTGTGGCCTTATGAATTATCTGACTAGTTTTCGAGGAGGAATGTTCAAGCTTAATGCAAAATTTGATACAGATTCATTGTTCTACTTGCTCAGTCATTTTCAGTGAAACAGCCACACAGTACACACGCTCACTCCAGGGCATTTGCCACCCCCACTGACTTGTACAATGAAGTCATCATTGTTCAGACATGCACATTTCAGTCCACTCTCTTCAGCTGCTGGGTTACATCTCGGTTGCACAAACCGTTCTTGTTATATGAACAGTGGCTGGACTTTTTCCGGACAAATCTCGTCTACCTCATGGTCTTTGTGAACAACTTGGATTTGTATATGCGGCCATTAAAGATAGTCTTAGAAAGTGGTTTAGCTCCTGAGGAACTCTGTCTTACTATTTCAGATTCGGGAAATTTTTTTGTTTATTGGTTGAATCTGTGAAAATGATTGCTTGTACTCGGACTATAATGTATTATAAAGGGTGGGACAAAAGTAGGTTTATAGTTGTGAATACATGAAACAAAGTTTTTTCTTGAATTATTATTGATTAATTATTGTATTCCATATGAACAACTGTAAACCTACTTATGCCCAATCTGTAGGTGTCTATGCACATAACTAACGCCCTCTCTGGGGTTTGCAGATGAGTGCTGCTGGTAGATTGCTATGCATGAATGTGCATATTTGGGAGAGGTGGAGAGTGTGAGAGAGAGGAAGATGGACTGTCACAGACTGACTGGAAGGTTGGGCTTTGTACAGCGTCATACAAATGTATGTACTGTGTTAAGTTTTGCTCTGTAGAATAAACTTGCTCATTGAAGTGCCAGTATAAATTAAACAGGTATGTTCTGTCAAGGGAAACCTTCGTTTATTCTGTGGCATGTATTTGGAGAAGTTTGATGTCCAAGCCTTGTATCTGGGGCTCTCTTTGAAGACCTCTTCTGACATTTATGGACAGATGTAAAGGATAAGTGGCTTTCAGTGCTCATACACTGTTGTATGATATTTGTTCCCAAGGGAGTATATATCAGATACAAGCTTACTAAAGAGGGGAAGAAGTAAGATTGTACGTCAGGTGCAAAAATAAAAAGTAGTTTTAAGATGAGCAGGGTTCTGTTCCCTGGCTTGCCAATGTGATTGCATTTTCCTGACCAGTTGAGTGATTGAGTTGTCTGGGTTTACTGAGTTTATGGATGATGGATGACTCTTTACAAGAGGAGATCCTGGGTGGTTGTCCTGGTTGACTTCTTTTTTTCTTCTCCCAGATAAACATTAGAGGGTATAGTTTTGTTCTGGTAATGATTAGGCTTATTGAAAGCCAGGCAACATCAGGAGCTTAGTTTTAGAAATTGTATTCTTGTGATATATGCTGTTCTCCAGTATAACAAAAGCTTATATGATGATTTCTGGAAAAATCCTGATTATATGGACTTGGAAAGGTGTTTTTTTGGAAGAATTTGTCTTATTGGTTAGTGGTTTCTTATGGAAAGTTTTCCATAAATTTTCTCTTTTTAAAAAACCTTGATAGTTCTTTTTAGCGTCCTTTGTTAAAGGTCACTTGCCTCTATAAACACATATATGAGTGATGTGTGAAAGCTCTGCTTCTCTCTGAAACTCATGAATAAGGGCTGTGTACTATCAGCACTCACGGCCTGCATGTTAAGTATAGTAATTACTCAGTTCCTGAATCTAAAAGACAGCTCAGTTGAAATCCCAACTGAGCTCTGAAACAGATTGTGAGGGAGAGTCCTGAGCAGTGAGGAGTCCTTCATGGGTATTGTCTGCACTCACATCTGCTACTGTTTGGTCATACCTGCATGTCACATTCTTATAAACCGTGTGTCTTTATCTGCAGTTAGAGACCTCGGAAATCGAGACTATGACATGGGGTCCATAGACATGTGACATGTATTGGATCAAAAAAAACTATTGGATATGTCTGATTAGTTTTTCTTTTCCATACTGAATATTAGAGTCATTGTAACAGTTAGAAAAATGTCTAGATACACTACCATATAGTAGTCAGTGACAAATATTGTAATTGTTTTATTAATTGAATCTTTAATCCTTTTTTATTATGTTTCTTATGTTTATCAGTGTTTTCTGATATGTGAATATGCAGGAATTTTTTAGTAATACTGTAAGTGTTAGAGAAGCTGCGTAAGAATTACAAGGTGCTTCCCAATCCTGGTTCAAAGGAGATTTTATTTTTAAATAAATTAATCTGGAAACACATGGAGTGGACAGTATAATTAGATGGCACCATTATAGTGTTGATTCAGATTTTCTGGCTGTCAGTAGTTTTAGAATCAGTGTTAAATAAATTTATATTTTACTAACACAAATAGGAATATTAAATATTGTGGAAATAATAAATATGCAGAGGTTGTAGGTTTTAAGGCACTCTTAAATGTTTCCTTTTTCTTTTTTTTATTTTAGGACAGGAAGATGATAAAATGAAATTCTCAGATATGCCCTCGGTAATAAACCACTTCTCTCAGTCAAAACTGGACTCCCCAGGGAAGTTCGAGCCTGATATGCCTGATGATTCTTCTAGTTGTACTGACATTCAGGAGGAAGCTCTATCTTCATCAGAATCAGATTCATGCAATAGGTAAGAAACTTGTAGTAGTTGATTATTTTAAATGTCTATTTCCTGTGCATGCTAAGATAGGCATAAATAATTAGAAAATAACTTTGAAGCACGATGCAATTCCTCAGTCTTCCATTTCAGTCTCCTTTTACTGCTCTGTAACTTTGACAGTGATAGCAGGGCAGAGTGTGGGAGAGTACGTGCAGCAGTCCTGCGGTGGTTTTGTTTTCTACCCTGTGGCTTTTATATAGATATTTTTCCTGGAGGTGGAAAAGAGAGTATGATTGGCAATGAAATTTTTGTCAAGACAATGAGTAAAGGAGGTAAAGATAACTATACTAGAAAACAGTGATGACCAGAAAGGCAGTGTATAGGAGAGTGAAACAAGAAGAATTTAATTGAATACGTAGAAGCAGTGGGGGAACTTTAAAAATGAGAGATCTGGAGGTAAGTCATTTTCCAACTGATTATTTAAAAGATATTTTAAAAACATAAATTTTTAAAGGAGGACATAGTGTTAAAGCATCATCATGTGCGCGCGCGCACACTCCCCCCCCCCCCCGCCATTTTATGTTTTGGTGTTTGACTTTAATGATAAATACTATCTATGTTTCTACATCATCTTTATACCTTTTTTTTTTAAAGATTCCGTGTTCTCCTGTGTTTCTCTACTATAATTGACCAAACTTCAATTTCTGTTGGATATCTACATTTTCCTTAGTGTTCTTATATATCTAATGTGGTAAAACTCTCCCTACATGAGCTTTGATATTTGTTTAATATTTAAAATTGTTAAGAGTGCTCTAGAATGATAAAATTATGTCTAATTTGAATGATCAAGTTAAGAAATTTTTTTATAAGAGGAACATAACCAAAGACTATTTTTTTAGGGTTCCTGGCATTATTCAGATTATTCAGAATCAAGTATTAGGAAGGGAAAATCTTATGACCTTACCCCGAATTTTTTCAAGGTTAAAAACATCATATCTGAAGTTGGGTAAGGGGAAAGCATGTGGTAGCCTCAGTTTTCTCTAGGAGCGTGATAATGGTGCACAGCTTTTCCAAATAAGACAATTCTTGCCTGTCCAGTAGGTAGTATTTATCTTTAAATGCAAGCCTTATAGGAATACAGGGTAACAATGGAAGGATACCAGAGGTCAGGAGAGCAAGAGAGAGTTTTTAACCATATTCACAGGGTGCCTGAATGTTTCAGAATGCTTGTGTAGAATGGGACATTTTTATGAACTTGGAGTGGGAATGGGAGAAAGTGAAAGGGGAGACACATGGCAGCCAATGTGTTTATCTCTTGGGAAATAGGATGAATTTGTAGGAGGTCTTGGCCTCAGACAGACAGACTTATTGACATCACTGAGGAGGCTCATTAAACCATTTTTTAAAATTTTAACATAAGCTTTTACATTTTATTTCACATTTTTATTAGGTATGCATATGTATATGTTTATACACCCAGATACCCATGATCAGTAGAACTACCTACTCATTGCAAAGTAACAGCTTTATGAGATATAATTTACATACCATACAATTCAGTCATTTAAGTGTATGATTCAGTGGTTTTTAATAGGGTCACAGAATTGTACAACCATCACCACAATTTTAGAACATATTTATCGCCCCCAAAAGAAATGTCATACCTATTAGCAGTCATTCCTCATTTTCTCCCAACTCTGTCGGCCCCTGGCAACCACTAATCTACTTCAGTTTGCCTATTTTGGGCTTTCAGTCAAGATGGTGGTGTAGGCAGACATGTTTTGCTTCTTCACACAACCACATCAAAATTACAACCATCACTTAGGAATATCAGCAATTGAACTGAATGGAAGTCTAACAGCTATGAAATCAGGTTGAATGGAAGTCTGACCACTACGGAATTAAAGAAACCACATCCATCCAGACTGGTATGAGGGGTGCAGACACAGAATGGGCTGGTCCTATACCCACGTTGATAAAAATTTGGGAGGGATATCTCAGGAATGAGGAGTCCCAAACCTACAGCTGGCCCCCCGAGCCCAGGATCCAGTGCCAGGAAGATAAGTCCCCACAACCTCTGAGTGCAAAAACCTGCAAGGATTGAGTCAGTGGAAGAAAGTACTGGAGCTCCAAACAGTTCCTCTGAAAGAACCCGCACAAGGACTCACCTACTCAGACTTAGTCCCTCTGAGCTCCATCACCAGGGTAGCAGCTTGAAAGGCACCAGTGGTACACAGGGAAAAACTGAAGTGTCTGGCATCAAGGCAAGCACAGGCCATTGCTTGTTTGCTAAGCCCTCCCCCCACAGAGCAAGGAAGCCAGTGCCACATCTGAGACCCCATCAGTCTGGCTAACACTGTTTGACCTGCTGTGGAGATGCCCAGAGGCTTTGCCCCACCTGGCCTATGGGCCCACCCAAGCTGCTTTTCCATATGAATGGCTGGTCTTGGCTCTGAAATCCTCTCAAACAAGCAACAGCTGGCTTCAGTGAGCCCTAGAGGCAGCCAGGTTAGATTCACAGCTTGGCTTAGCCTGGAAATAAACCTCCAAGCCCAACACAAGTTGTAGCCATCTCAGATTCCTTTACAGCTCAGACAGGGTGTCCTGGGCAGAACAGAGATGGGGGCTGACCGTGGCCTGTACCACCCAGGAAATCCCAGGGCCATTGCACCCAGTGGACAGCTACAGACCACATTGGAGCACCACCACCCTGCCCCTGCACAGCTCCCCTCCACTGAAGGTGGGGGTTGGTGGTTGGTGGTCACAGCCAGACCTTGCAGCTGACTGGCCTGGGTAAATCCCTACCATTGACCTGCCAACAGCAATCAAGACTCAACTACAAGAGGAGGGTGTACTCAGCCCACACGAAGGGTGCATGTGGAGTACCCAGCTTGGGTTATAGGGAGGCTGTGCCACTGGACCCTCCAGGAAACCAATACATTAGGCCATACTACCAAGACATGCCAAGACATGGAGTCAAAGCAGCTCTACTTAATACATAGAAACAAACACAGGGAGGCTGCCAAGAAGAAGAGACAGAGAGACATGGCCTAAATGAACTAACAGATCAAAATTCCAGAAAAAAGGCTAAACAAAACAGAGATAAGCAATCTATCAGATGCAGAGTTAAGTTTGTCTATTCTGGACATTTTATATGAGAAGAATCATCTAATACATGGTCTTTTACAACTGACTTTGTTGACTTAGTGTGTTTTCAAGGTTCATACATGTTGTATCATATATATTCCTTTTTATCATGGAATAGCATTCCGTTGTTTGGATATGTATTTTATGTATTCATTTATTAGTTGATAGGTATTTGGGGTGTTTCTAATTGCAGTTTTAACAAGGAAAACAGTCACTGAATTTGCTTGTACACTTTGGAAACAGCTTTAGAGACCACATCTAAGGTTTTGCCGGGCTCGCCTTGAGGAAGTGTGCTTACTACTCATCTCAACTATGAATAAGTTTTAGAAACATTGTAAATATTAAACACGTTAATCCTTTTAATTATTATTTTATTAGTATTCTTTTTATACTCCCCTTTTTATTTTCCTGTCATTGTGGCAGTTTAAGATATTTAAATTTAAAAGGTAGAGTCTCTTCCCTTAGGAAGAGCTAGAAACTAGGCTGAAGGGAGAGTGGGAATGAAGTGAGCCTTCACTAGCATTTGGTTTGAACCAGGACAGACCACTTAACAACTGATTCAAGCTGTGAAGGAGTAATTATGCAGCAGGAAGGAGAGATGGTGTAGCAGGAAAAGAAGTAGATTTACTCTTGAATGACTTCGAATCAGGATCTACTGGGTCATGAGATTCAGTCTTTTGCAGGCTTTTTCCATATAAAAGTGTCTCAGATCTGTTAGGAAGATGAAATGAGGTAATAGATGTGAGTCTTTGATAAATACATGATTATTAATCTATTTTTATGAAGACCAAATCAACTAAGTTTTCTTTAGTAATGCTGCAAAATTTGGGATTCTGTGGCTGGACATTTCAAAAATGTTTTTACAGCCCCCAATTCCCTCATTCTAATTCTCAGAGTAAATCCTAAAATTTATCTTTTTTCCTCCTTCTCTTCTGAACTTTGGTTGAGAAAGTTGTGAGCCTGGTTTGATTAGTTCCATTCAAAATTCATTTATTTGGACCCCGCTGGGTGCTTACCACTGAGGTGGAGTCTCTGACTTACTCCTTATTACGTTTCCCATAGCACCTATATTCCAAACCCCTTGCTTATGTCCATTTCCTCACTTTCAGTGAACACCTTGTCTCCCATCCCAGTTCACCAAGTCCAGCTAATCTGATCTGTCTCCAGGCCTGTCTTTCCATCCTTAGGTTCCTTGTAATTTTTTCCATCTTCTTTCCTGTTAATTGTAAGAGAAAGACATATTTCTTGAGACATGCCTAATGACTCTTCTTTCCTGTCAATAATGAGATGAGGACATACTGATTCTTAAGAATGATTCATCCATATCCCCCAAGACATTGCTCCATCAATCATAATTATTCCTTAAGTTTGCTTTTGGTTGGCCCCTTTCCCTCAGCCCTTCCTCTGGTCTCTGTTCTCTTATTCTTCCCGCTAAGGAGGAAATAATTCGACTTACTCTCTGAATTCCAAAGCAGTTTATCTAAATCAGATCCTATCTTGTATTATAGTTATTTGACTAGATTTGTCATTTCTATTATTAATCAGAGAACTTAAGGATTGAATCTGTCGCTCATTGTTTAAAGATCTGTCAAAGTTTTATTACATGAATGAGTTTTTGATTTTAATATGTACATATTTTGTTTTACATTTTAATGTTTGTCATTGTGATATGTCTTATAATCAATAAGGCAACTAGAGTCACAACTATAATCAGTGTGCTGTATAGTTGCTAGTTACTAGTCAGGTGGTTGTTGTGACGTACTTGCCTGTCTGTGAGCATCATGGGTTTCCAGACTGTCGTCATTTCATTTGAGTTACTGGCATTCTTAGCATGATACATTCATTTGTCATTTAAAATGTCCTCAAGAAAATAATGAAACAAA